GTGTCCTCACCGAAACCGCGGTGCCGGAGCAACGATGGCACAGGGATGGAGCAGCCACCAGCAGAGGGAGCGGCAAAGCCAGCTCAGAGGTCCCCCAGCCCGGTGGCACGCAGGATTTGGGGAGTTTTGTTGCTGGGTTAGAGATTTGTAAGAAAATGTCGCAGAGAAGGATGGACACCTTTTTTTATCCAATACAAGTTAGCAAATGGGGATCCTGTTACTCTCTCCTGATAGCAAGAGAGACGCAAAGAGACAGGTTTTGGTATTACTCCTTTTCATATCAGGCATCAGAAATGCTCACACAGCTCCTGCTGGGCTGTGGCGGCAGTGGGGTCCCTGGGAGGGGGAAGGAGTGTGCGCAGCACAGGGGCAGCTGTAGGGGCTCGGGAAGCCTCCCGTACCCCCGGGCCCTCCCGCCTCCATGCCATCAGTCAAAACATGTGAGGGGCAGAAGGGGTAAGGGGCAATGAAATCAGGTTTTATCCAGTGCTTTTCAAGGGCGGTCCCACCAGCACCTCCCAGCAGAACCAGTGAGAAACAATTTCACCGGTGCCAGTGTTCCCCCCGCAACAGTGAGTTGGGATGTGCTCCCAGCTCAGCTAACACAAGCAGCACCCAGACAGTCCATCCCCATAGCACCAATCTGGCCCCTGTTTGACTGAGACAAGCCCTAATTTTGTTTCATCTTTGTCAAGTGAGCAGACCCCATCCCACCTATCTGCGGGGCAAGCACAAGGCGGCGAGGGGGGGGAAAGCAGCTATGTCCTCAAAACAGGTCAAAGCGTGGCAGCTGAGACACATCAGGCATGTCAGGATACGCACTGGAAGAAAGCAAAGTGCCCTTTGGTTCGGTGCCAGCCAGCACACAGCGGGTCAAGGATTCAGCTCCACTGGGATCCCGCAGGGGGGTGCGCTCCCCAGGCGCTGGCAGGGAGTCTGTCCGAGTCCCGTCCCCCTCGAACTCAGCAGGGAGAAAAGTTTAAGTGGAGAAAGCACATGAGCTGATGTAAGTAGATGCACAACCAGAGGAATTGTTCCCCCTCCACACTCTCAAGGTCCATCTGGTCACCAGTATTAGCTGGAAAAGCCTCAGGGTTTTCTGAATGTACACCGGTTCTTGGGTCTGGGACAGTCAGAGCATCACTGCGGCTGTGTGACACCCAGCTCGGGCTGCAGCGGGAACAGAGAGGTTGTGCTGAGACAGCTATGCTAAATTTACCCCGCCCCGGGACTCTGATGAGCAGTGGACAGAGCAGGTTTGGGGAGCTGTAGCAGGCTTGGGAGCTGGTGTGAGTTTTTCTGAGATTCTGGCAAAGGCCCAAAGTGGCTGACTCACTCCTCCTCTCAGGTCAGTTCTTCACAGCTGTAACTCCGGTGAGACCAGTGGGTTATTTCTGATGTACATTGCTGTACGATCACAGTCCAGTCCATTACCCTTGCTGGTGAAGGATGGCTCCCATCTCCAGTGGGCTTTATTTAGCTTCCACTCCAAAGCTGTTCTGTAAGAGGGGAACCAATGTGAAAAAGCTACGGCGTTTCTTTGGGTTGGAGATTCCCCATCATGAGTTATTTGGCAACTGTGAACTTGTTAGAAGCAATGAACTCGTTATAATCAATGCTCTTGCCCTCTCTGTCAACTGTACGCAGCATATAGATTTGTCATTTGTTGTTAGAGATGACTTGGCACTTGTGAGTTGTGCCAATGGATGCAAAAACAGATTCATCCTAATTATATCGAACCACTGATCAACTTAGTAGTCTAGTCTAGTATTTTAAGCCCTAAAGGTTCCTTAGCAGTAAATCATGCAGGTTACAAATAAAGTGCATGGGGGAGAAAAAAAGTAAGTTAACTGCATGTATTAGCTTGAACATTTGGAAGGACAAAATACATTCAAAGAGCCCTGGCACATTTCTTCACTCTCTTCTCTTGTATTCTGTTAATACCCTACTAAAACTGTTGACTTAAACACCTCCACTCTGTTGTTTTCGGTGTGTAATGACAGGTCTGCTTTAGGGAGGCTGGGCAGTGGCTGGCAAGGGCTCGGCTGCATGGAGATTTCCAATTGCTAGCTTTGACCCTGCCCTGGGTAGTCGCCTGTTTGTGACATCTATTTGCTTGCAGAGCAGCTGTGAAATTGCAGCAGATTTTAGGTATCCGTGAGAGTATCCGTGCATTTCACTGCATAGAATAATGTGTACCTTGTGCTCTGGGCAACACACTATAATTAGTTTGTAGAAGTTGTTTGTCTCTGAAGGTCTATAAATACACATACATAAAACTATAAGGGAATAAGCAGTCACATGCTTAAAGCAAATGCATTCTAATGCAGAAGAGTTTTATACACTGATCACATTCCCCCCCCCCAAAAAATGTTGTTCCATTGCTGATCTCTTTCACTTCCCGTAATGCTGACCAAAAATATTTACTTTCTTCTTTCACATGAATAGACTAAAAGGGATGGAGAATTTCCCACTGAAAACAAGGACATTCACCATTCAGTGACAAACAGCCTTCACCTGGGCTGTATTTGTTACGTTGCTCTCTCTCAGAGAAGGCAAAGAAAGAAAATAAAAGATGAACACCTCAGGCAGCGGTATCAGTTCCTCTTGTCAAATGTTTTCCCTGTGATTCACTGGCATCACCTGGGTGCCTCCGGTCAAAAACTTCATTTTACAAACCAACCTTGTTCCCCAACCAAGCCCTTCAACTTTTTCAAGTGACTTTTTTCCATGACCCATTCTTCCCATTCCTTCAGTTTAAAAGAAAAGACAAAAAGTCGCATTTCCTTCTGGAGCGCTCCTTGCTTGAGTGGTCTCCCACCAATACCTGCTGTGGTGTTAACCGCTGACGCACTGGCCTCTGCTGGAAAGTGCAAAAGGAGGGTGGATTTGATGTTAGAGCAGAAGTCAGCACTGAAGCGCCTGGGCACCTCCCTGCCTTGCTGCAGCTGAGCCCGGGGAACCCCCAGGAGAGGAGAAGGAGAGGCGAACATCAGAGAGTCCGGCGAAGAGCATGCACGTCCCGGACTGTCTGGTCCCCGCCTGGTCCCTGCCCGGTCTTGCCCTGACTGCTCCCTGCCCGCTCCCTGCCTGTTCCCTGCCCAATCCCTGCCCGCTCCCTGCCTGTTCCCTGCCCGCTCCCTGCCCGCTCCTGCCCGGCCCAGGCGGAGCTGTCCCTTCAGCACCACGGCCGGGCGGCCGGCACG